ATGAAAGCAGCAGTCAGGAAATCCAACAACAGATTGCATTGGGCAAATCTGCTGCAAAGAATCTTTTAAAACTGTTTAAAAGATGTTCCTTTGAAGACCAAGGTGTGCCAGACCCAAGCTGCCTTCTCTCTTTAGTGTTACTTCAACAGAAATGCCACAAGTGGATGCCTTGAACAAATAAGGTGATTCTCTCATAGTTGAGGCAGTCAGAAGTTAAATTCAGAGTGCATGCTCTAGGGGAAGGCTTTCTCTCTTGGGTCTGGAGAAAGGTCTTTATCTCCTTTCAGCATTCGTAGGCCCAACATTTCTTGAAGATCTCCATCCATCTTCCTCTACGTGTAGGAACATCACAGTGCAGGGACCCCAGCTACAAAGGATACACTCTCTCCTGGCTCTTGTTTCTTGGTGGCAATAGGTCCTTCTTTCTCTGCTCATTTTTCTCTCATTTGCTCTCTTGTAAAATAAAAGGTGTTGCAGGCCACAGCCCTTGGAAACTCACAGCTGATCAGGTTGTGATGGGATTACGGGCAGTATATCCCACCCTGAATCCTCTTAGTGGTTTATTACATCAGATCACATCATTGAGGGTTCCCCCATTAACTGCCAAACCGCTGAGAATCATGGCCCACTCATGCCAATGCATATTTTGGGAGGACCGACTTCAATCCATGACACAAGCCATGGTGGTTTCAACTCTCTTGTATGCATGCAAAAGCTGAACAGTGAATAAACAAGACCAAAGAAGAATTTGTGCCTTTGAATTTTGGCATTGGCCAAGAAATAGATCTTATAAAAAGTACAGACAGAATGCTCCTTAGAAGTGAAGATGGTGAGAATTCATTTCATGTCATCAGAAGGGACCAGTCCCTGGTGAAAGACATCATGTTTAGTAAAGTAGAGGATCAGCGAAAAGGAGGAAGACCCTTGACAGGATGGAATGACACCGTGGCTGTTACAACGGCCTCACTCATGACAAATGTGTGATGGTTCTGGACCTGGCAGTGTTTCCATCTGTTGGACATTGGGAGTGCCAAGCAACAACATAGACAAGGGTACTTCAAAAGCTTGTGGGAAAATGTCTTTATCTTCTAATTCTATTTTTTCCACAAACTTTTTGAAGCACGTCTCATATAGTGTACGCCATTTTCTTACTTACTATTTTGTGAACATTCTCTGATATTATTAATTTTTAAAAAATAAAACATTCTCTGGAAAGAATTAATTAGATGTGCGCACCAATGTTCATAGCAGCACTATTTACAATAGCAAAAAGATGGAGACAGCCTAAGTACCCATCAACTGAAGAAAGGATAAACAAACTGTGGTACCCACACACAATGGAATATTATGCTACTTTGAAGAATAACAAGGAACCTGCAAGCCACCACATTAACATGGATGAACCTTGAGGACATTATGTTGAGTGAAATTAGTCACAAAAGGAGAAATACTGCATAAGACCACTACTGTAAAAGACTAAGAAAAAGAACCCATACTAAAGGGAGGTTCTTTGCTGGCTACCAGAATATGGGGGGTAGGTTGAGGGGAGGGAGGGGAAGGTGGAGCACAGGGTAGAGAATAGACACAGGATAGTTTGGGTGCTAGGGAGGGTGGCAATACACAAGAATGGGGAGCGAAGTGGAATAATGAAGCAGATGGGAAAACAATTAGGCAGGTTTGCATGGGCTAAGTGGGACAGAGGTAAATAATGATGTAGGCACAACCTTGGAACAACAGGGCTCTGGGATACAGGGATGGAGACATGGTTGGAATGGGGAAA